GGCTGCCGGGCTCCCGCGATCCCGGCCTTTGAACAACGCGGCGCACCTGGAGGAGGAGGGCGGGCACTGGGCGGGCGGCTGCCAAGGGTGGGGGCTCCCGGTGCATAAGGGGCTCTTTGCCCAGGCGGGCGCTGGTGCAAATGCACAGCACAGCAAGCACCTACTGTGTGCCAGGTACGCCAGAGTGTTCCTAGGAACCCTGCAGGCCAGGGGTCGTCTGCATTTCACAGATGGGAACTGAAGCCCAGTGGGGTGAAGGTACCAAGGGCAGACAGCTGAGGTGGAAAAGAACTGGAATCTGAGCCAGGTGGAGTGGGCACACCTGTGACCTCAGCACTCTGGGAGGCTGAGGCAGGAGGATCACAAATGGGAGCCCTACTAGGGCAACTCAGCAAAAACAGGGCTGGGACGGAGCTTAGTACGAAGGGCCTGGGTTTGATCCCTGTACTGAAAAAAATTAAAATTAAAAAGAAAAAAGAAAAAAAGCACTGGCATTTGGCCTCGGGTCTCTGCCTCCAGAGCCTGCTGTGCGGGGAGAGGGCTGCGGGCTGCTGCGCCCACTTTTAGACCGGGATCTCCCGGTTTATTTTGTGACACTGCTAAGATGGTGAGGGTAAAAAGGGAGGAAGACACGTTATGTCCACAGAGCCACGCCACACCAGGGCTGCAAGCACTGTGTGCTGTACATGTGAACTAATAAATAAAAACAGGCAAAACAGAGCAACTCAAACAACACCCGCGAAATACCACGTGGACCCAACAGACCTCGGGAAGGTGATTTGGCAGCAGGTGGTTTGGCTTTTGTCCTCTCGGGCTGAGATCCTCCCCACCCCGGTGACTGCCAAATAGTTCAGAAATAAGCCCGAGATTCTCTCAGGTGGTCAGCTGGCTCAGAAGATGGCCGGTATAACGCTGCCTTTCCCCTTTCCGCTCAAGGCCACATCTTCTTAATGTGAGCCTTCTGTCGTCTGTCTGTTGGTCTCTGTCATTTCTGGGCTTCGGCCATCCACAGCAACCCCCAAAGCCGTAGAACTTGTGGGAAACTTTGCAATGCATCCTCCAGAGCCCATCGTGTTCCCAGAGAGGCCACCAAGGGCAGGGCCAGGTGGAGTGGATAACGCCAAAGACCTTGAAATCCTCTGGCTAACTAACCTTGCCTGAGTTTCTGCCATTTTTGAGGAGTCACTGTTTCCCATACATCATCTATTTTGTATCTCCATGAGCTATGCGGACCCAGTGACCCCACCCTTTTTCTTCTGCAGTGTGGGGGATGGAACCCAGAGCCTCGCACCTGCTTGGCAATGCCACCCCATTAAACAGGAGAGAAAACTGACCCCAGGTGACAAAAGACACAGCAAGCCACCGCCCAGTGGTCTGAGCCCAGACTCAACACCTGCCATTTCGCCATGACAGCTTCCTGTGGGGCTTCCTCCACTGGGACGTCTATGCTGGGAAGAGCTGTAGGCACAGCCCGACAGGATGGCGACTGGACTGAGAGCCATGTGATCGGCGAGCTTGGCCAGCTGCACCAGATCTGCTCCACCCCCACTTACCCCTGGGCTGCACTGTGGCTCCTTATCCACTCCCTTTCCAGCTGGGAAACGAGTTCTTCTGAGGAGTTTTCTGGCTCAAGAGACCACAGGTCTTTTGGTCTCAGTAGCTTCCTGTAGCCCCTCCAGAGTAGCCTGTAAAGGAGGGGCACTGGGGTTAGCGCCTCGTGTCTGTCATCCAGCCCAGGTGGCAGCTTTGGGACTCTGGGGAAGTTACTTTACTTCTCTCTGCACCTCTGTTGGCTCCTGGGTCAATGAAGGCAAGACCTGCAGGGTGCTACTTGGTTTACACAGATGCTTGCATCTGGTGGAGTGTTATTGACTCATTTTATAGATGAGGAAGAAAACAGGTGGGGAGAGATTAAGTGACTTAAGCAAGGGACAACTGACATGGCCAGGGAAATGACCTCTCCCCCAGAACCAGAAATCTGGGATCTAAAACTCATTGTGAAGGAAACCTAAACTCCTTCCTTTTAATATTCCTGGCCTCCTCATTCACTGTTCCAGCCAGCTGGCCTCAGGACCTTTGCATGTGCATGCCACTCTGCTCCAAATTCTTTTCCTGCTGCCCCTCATCCGCCATTTCTTACTCTTCCTTCACATCTGTGCTAGATATGACTTCTCAGGCAGGCTGGATTTGACCTCCCCGGCCAAGGAGATTCTATCACAACTGCCCAAGGTTTCTTTAGCACATATGACAGACTTCCACAATGAGAGTCCTGTTTTTCTGCTGGGTCTCTTTTGTTTTTCCAAAAACATGAAGTAGAAGGGTTGTTGGGACTGGCCTTTGTCTCTCTAGGCCTTGCCAGGTGCCCTTTTCTAACACAGAGCCACTCCAAAAAGCCACAGAGCTGGTCTGGAAATGATTAACACAGGGTTTTCTCTGAAATTATTTTTGGATTTCTCTTCCAGGGCAAGTGATTTGATCGATTTTTCAAGGCTGGGCAGTGATAAAGAGATTCCTGTTTTAAAGCTTACTAAAGTAAAGAGAAATGAGTTGGATTAAAGAAAAACTTACTGGAGTTGAGGTGATGCCCAGTATGGCGGGGGGAGTTTAGGAAACAGGACAAGACCCCAAGTAGGACTGTTTAGAAAATTCCTATTCTCTTTCTGCCAACTCCACGAATGCAGAAGCTCATGTTCTTCATTTGTTTCACAGGTACTGTACAGGACCCCCGGCCCCGTCCTAAGTCTCACGATCCTTATCTCACACGTCGGTAGATGCTGTCCTTGTTCCCACTTCACAAGAGTGGAGACGAGGGCACAGAGAGTCAGGTAGCTGGCTCGAGGTCACACAGCCAGGAAGCGGTGGGGCAGAATTCCAATCTGTTCGGTCCCAGAATGCGGAAGTCTGACTGCTGTGATACTGCGGGCCTGGGAGCCCAGCAGTAGGCAGGCACCTCCGCAGTGCCTGGTGAGGGCTGGCACCAGAGAAGCTGCCGTTTTCTCTGTCAGCCCAGGACCCTCCAGGCAAGAAAGACTTGGTCTTTTTCATCTTGCACCTGGTGCTTAACACATAGTAGGTGCTCACTTAATGCCAGTGAAGATGGAAGATGACTGACAAATGCAGTATTACTGGTACCTGCTATGCACAAGCACTGGGCACTTTCATTTAATGATGGTGAGGAGTCCCCGTCCCCACCTTCCAGAGGAAAAAGCAGGGCTCCTGACAAGGGCAGGGCCAGGATTCAAGTCTGGCCAACACTCTGTGGCAGCTTGGTGGGGTGTCAGCCCTGGGGTGGGGGACACATGAGGAAGAGCCACACAGGGGAGTGACAGCAGCACACCCACTCAGCCCTCCCCTGCACCTGCTTACCCAGAAGCCCACCAGAACGTGGCCCGGGAGGGGAAGCAGGCCCCAGCCTCCGGACATGGATTCTGTAAAACACAAAGGAGGGAGAGAAAGACCTTGGTCTCCCATCCATGGCGAGCAGCTGACCACGGTCAGGAGCACAGGGCGAACTGACCGGGGGGACCTCAGTGAGCTCGGTGCTTCCTGGCAGCCAAGGCAAGAAGGGCCTGGACCACCTGGGCTGATCCCTGACTGTGTTCACAAGGTCAGAAGAAGCGTTTCTCGCGAGAATAATTATGATTACACTGAGACAGAGACGTTCTCAAAGCGGGGACCATGTGTAAGAAAGAGAAGGAGTCCTCAGCTGTATCCCTGAGTGGACATTGTGCAGAGGGCTCTGCACTGGGATTTTCGTCAGCTGCTCTGGAAAGACCGCATGATTCATCCTCTTCACCACCAAGGCACGAGGGAGCCCATTTCACCACGTCTTTGGTATCACCGCTGGTTGTCAAGTTTTAAACTCTTTTTGCCGTTCTGATAGGGGATTGTGATTTTAAATAGATTACCCAAATATTTGAGTTTTTCTTGTTTTTGTTGTTGCTGCTGCTCTTGTCCTTTTCAGTACTGGCAGTTGAACCCAGGACCTTTGTACTGAGCTACATCCCCAGCCCTTTTAAAAAGTTTTGTATTTTGCGACATGGCCTCTCTGAGGTGCCCAAGTTGGGCTCGAACTTGCAACCCTCCTGCCTCAGCCTCCCACCATATGGGCATTACAGGCTGTCACCAAGGTTGGCTCATTTGAGCATTTTTTTGGTACCAGGGATCAAACTCGGGTTCTTGTGTTTGCAAGGAAGGCGGCAGCACCGCTGAGCTAAATTCCCGGTCCTTATTTGAGCATTTTTAAAGACAAGCTAGGTCAGTATCTTCCCCCAGGGAATTCTCTCCTGATTTCACAGACCACTTCAGTGTTACCTGTTGAAAACTCAAGGAGCCGGTGTTTCTGCAGAGCACAAACTCAGGCTCTGCCTGCCACACAGATGTGTAATCTGTGATTCCTTAACGGCAGAGTCCCGATGTGACTGGGAACTGATAAGCACAAGGACCATATCTGCCATTCACCACAGATCCTCAGCATCTGGAGGAAGTATAGAGCAGGGGCGACACACTATGGGCTCCAGGCCAAACCTGGCCTACTGCTTGTTTCTACAAATAAAGTTTTATCAAAACACGGACCTGCTCAGTTGTGTTTATACTACCTTTTGCAGCTTTTGCACCACGATGAAAGAGTTGAGCTAGGCTGGTCCTATGGTTCACAAAGCCTAAAAGATTTTTCTATCTTGCCCTAAACAGAAACCTGAATACCGGCAAAGGATCACTGACAAACTCACGCTTTGCTGAACGGCTGGGGGAATAAAAAAAGAAAGGCCTGTGCCCTAGTTCAGCTCACTTTGGTCACATGGGGCAGCAGATGCACGGACAAAGGAATCCCTGGGTTGGGGGGTGCGGTGACTTACAGCCTGCTGGCAGTCTTTTTGGAAGAAGGGGGGCCGATCCACCAGGCAGGACAGCACAAACTCAGCCACGACCAGCGACAGACTCAGGTAAGTGGACAGGTGGCGCAGGGGGTCACGCTGGAAGTCCTGCAGGAGAGAATGCAGAAGCCACGCTGGGCTGCAGCTGGCGAGGGGCCGAGGCAGCAGAAGGCGCCTGACTCACACATATTCCGTGTGAACAGGGGAAGTCAGACCAGCCACGGCGCTGGGACACTTGGATGTTTTTCTTGTGGCAAAAGGTAATCATCTCTCCATCCCTGTCCCCCATACTAATCTCCTGTCCCAGTCCCTTGTGGCCAGGGTCCTCTGGTTGACGGAGAAGGGAGCCAGTTTTATTGGGCGTCTCATCTACCCTGGCACTTGCAGGGTCTCCCAGGCCCGTCCCCACTGACCGCAGTGGGGTTCACTTGCTTCATTTTGCTTCTGGGTTTCCCCAAGGCTCAGAGAGGCCGTAGCACTGCCCCAGGGTGCACAGCCCGTCTGACTCAGCAGCGACTGCTGTCATGTTGCTGCCCCCTCTTCTGGCCACAGCACCCCAATATTCTTTCCTTTATACTTTGGCACCTGCTTTGTACAGCACTGACTTGGCTCTGAGGTGAGCAGGAGATTGAGCCTGGTGACCCTGCTGGATTGGGGGTGGACTCAGGATTTATGCTGGGCCCCCTGGGAGAGTTCTGGGTTCGCTGCTCTGGCAGAATGTAAGCCTGGAGCTACTGGGGTTCTGCTACATTGCCTCACTGAGAATGAAGGTGACACAGTGCAGGAACGGGACAGAGGGGGACATCTGGTGGTGCCCTAATTCATCTGAGCGCCTGGAGAGACCCCATAGATGTGAGCTCATAAAGACACAAGCTAGTAAATCTGCTCGGATTCCACTCCCTTAAACGAGTATGAACTGAGCTTTTGCTGCTTAAAGAAGAGCCCTCATTTCAAACCAGAATTCCTCTATGGACTGTATCCTCTTCTGGGTCTTCTTTTAACAAATAGCAGGAGATTTGTGCTCCACCTTCCCCATCCTACCTTTTTTTTTTTTTTTTTTACTACCATTTTTATATTGGAAATTTTGTTCTGAGTCTGGGTGAGTTCGAATTGGCCTCTGTACTCTGGAAGTGTGTGACCCCCTCCAGAAAAGTCAGGCTCTCCTCTTAGCCTCTGTCCTTATCTACTATGTGTCCATTAAAATGGATGTGGTGGTGCTTGCCTGCACACAGAAGGCTGATGCAGGAGGATTGCTGGGAGTTTGAGGCCAGCAGGGGCTACATGGTGAGTTCAAAGCCAGCCTGAACAACATAGCAAGACCCTGTCTGGACAAAACAAAATAAGAAGAAGAGAGACTGTTAGACTCTACCACAGAGCCCTAATGTGACCCCAATGAGAATGTGTACCTGAGTGCTTGCCGCATTACGTGCCAGGGCTGGAGTCCCAGTGCCCATAGGGCCCCAGGGTCACCGTTTCTGCACTGTGCTCTGAAAGGCCAATCCAGAGGTCAGCCGTGGGACACCTCTTCATAGCCAAGTGGATGGCAGATGGGCTCCCCATTAATTAAAACAGGTCACTCTTAAATCCGTCCTTGGGCAGGGGTGTAGCTCACTGCTAGAGCACTTGCTGAGCATGTGCTAGGCCCTGGGTTCCATCCCCAGCACCACAGAAAGTACAAAATAAAACTCTGTCCCTGAGGACAGGACGGTATTCCTCCACCTTCCCCTGTAGGGACAGGGCAGAGTAAGAAACGATGGGCTGCAACCTGCTGCATCCTGATGTCCGGTTTCCAGGTGGCTCCTCTGAGCCCAGGCAAGTAGGTGTTCCCAGCAGAAGGGTGGCTGTGCCCCCAAGGACGTTAGGCAGCATCTAGAGGTGCTCGGGGGTCACACTGCCGTGGTGGGGGCTGCCGTATCGGTACCTCGTGGGTAGAAGCACAATGAACGGGGCACCCTCTTTCCCAGTGCAGGTTTCTCCAGCCACGAGGCGTGGGGAGGTGGGGAGGTGATAGAAAATGATCCACTGCGTCCCCTGAGATGGCTATGCTGCTTCCCAAATGGGGAAACTGAGATAGAAGTGTCCATGTACAATGAGTGTGTAAATACAGATGCTTGGGAACATGGGGGAGAAGGCCTGCGTGAGGATCAGGGGAAAGCGTGCCCATGTACCAGGGAGAGCACACACCCGTGTGTGCCCAGGTTGTGCGTGTGAGGTGTGTATGCAGTGTGTGATGGAGTGTGTGATGGAGTATGTAATCCAGTGGGAATTCGTGTTGCTACAAAAGGCCTGGACGGCCGTGTGGACGAACTTGGAGATCATTGTGTTGAGTGAAATAAACCGGGCACAGAAAGACAGATTCTGTGCAATCTCACTCCTACGTGGGGTGTAAAGAAGTTGATTCTGTAGAAGCTGAGGTCGCATGGTGTTTACCGGGAGGGAGGGAGGACAGGAGAAAGCTGTCAGCAGGTACAGTTAGGAAAAGCACGTGCTGGTGCAGTCACAGGAGGGCGACTACAATGAACAATTTCATACTGAACACTTCAAGACAGGCAGAAGAGAAGACTCTGAATGCACTAACCAACTGGGGATGATGAAGGTGTGAGGTGTTACGTGTGCTAAATACCCTCCTCAGGTGATTACGCAGTGCACACATGCATCAGAATACCAGCTGAGGCAGGAAGGTCGCAAGTTTCAGGCCACCCTAAGCAACTTAGCCAGACCCTGTCTCAAAATTTTAAAGGCTGGGCAGGGAGCGGGGTGCAGCTCAGTGGTGAAACACTTGTCTAGCACGTGTGAGAGCCTGGGTTCCATTCCCGTCCTGTGAGACAAAGAAGAACAACCACTTGGTGTCTGATAAATATCTGCAATTAGTATGAGTCAATTTAAAACAAAATCGAAGATGCACGAGATCCCCGGTACTTAATGGTGAGGATGTTTGTGTGCCTTCAGCGTGTGAGTGTAAGCGAACGCACTGAGTGTCACCGTGGAGAGTAGAGGTCATGCATGGAAAGGCGAGGAGAAAGAAAGGGGCCCTGGCTTCCTGGTTTCCCCTGTGGCCCAGGCCTCTACTTACCCCGCTCGAGGCCTGCTGGGCAGTGCTGGTAGCTGGCAAGAGACAGCAGAGCAGCCAGTACCCAAATAGCACCCCGGATGCCTGGACACCCTTCCTCCTCTCCACGTGCACCAGGAACATGGCAAAGCTCTGGGCAAGAAAGTCCACATGGGCCTTAGAGGGTTGGGGGGGAGGGAGGGGATGGAGGGACGGCTCCACCTTTCCCCTCCCACCCCTCCCCACCCCCACGCTGGAAGAGCAGCAGCCCGATCCAGGGAAGAGGTCGTTACCATGGTGGTGAGCCAGACTGTAGGATGAATGAGGACTTCCGGGGCCTGGGGCTCCCCCTGCTGGATTCTCCACAGAGGCACAGCCACGCTGAAGGTGCACAGGAGGATGAGGGCGAACCCAAGCACCTGGGGAGACAGTTCAGATAACGCTGCGGGCAAGATGGAAGGTGGCAGCCAACCGGAGGTGACCTCAGGCCACCTGGGTGGTGGTTCCACAGAATCCCCAGCGGGGCCTCGAACGAACCGGTGTTATCATTGCGCCACCATGAAGACCGAAGGGGGCGACACCACAGGCCACTACTGACTGTAGCCGCCATGAGTCATGTGCAGCAGGTGTGGATCCCACCAGGGCAGGTGCACCACGGCTTCCGGTATGAAGACAGGACAGGAACAGAAGTTTACTACCAGGCGTCTGCAGTCTATGCTATTAAGCCCAGGAGAAGCTTTGCATGGGGTCAGTAAGTTTCTAGGCATCTCTACGCTATACTTTTCTTTCTTTTGAATAAAATAAAGCAAGAAAGAGAAAACGTGTACATGCACACACCAGACGGAAGGCAGGCTGGAATTCTTGAAGTACCCAGTTAGCCTGAAGCAGGATTGGCGAATTCCATCTCTAGGCTGAGTGGGGCCAGACGCCTGCTTTTGTATAGCCTGTGAGCTAAGAAAGGATTTTGCTTTTTTGGAATCATTAAAAATAATTTTAAAAAATTTTAAAAATCCACAAATGACAAGGGAAAATTAGATGAAATTCGCACTTTAGCAAGTGTAACATTTACGGAAACTCAATCACACCTGTTTATTCATGACTTCTATGGCTATTTCCACAGCGCATTAGCACAGCCCAGCATTTGGAAGGGAGAGACAACTGTGCAGCCTGCAGAGCCCCAGCTCTCCGGCCCTCATGGTTTGCCAACAGAGCCAACTTCACAAGGTGGCAGGGAAGGAATGAGTTCTGCAAAACATTCCTGCACCAGTGTGGAGGACAGCAAGCACAAAGGCTTGCACTGGGAGCGCCCGGGTTTATCTAACATACTAACATAAGTGCATCACAATTTAAAAAACTGTTCCGGCCGGGCATGGTGGCCCACGCCTGTAATCCCTAACCACCCCCTGCAAAAAAACTGTCCGGTGGGTTTGTCAGTGGGGGAAACCTAATAGTAAGGGCATAACTGGGCTGGGACCATAGCTCAGAGGTACAGTGTATACTTAGCATTCACAAGCCCCTGGCTTCTTCCTATCCTAGCCCCTGAAAATAAAATAGCATAAAACAAAAGCTTAACTGTTAGAATTTAAGAAGTCCATCCTAGCCTGGTCCTAAAATCACCTTGTGTACCCCAAAAGTACCCATGGCACAGTGGAAAGTGGCAGGTTACAGGAGCTACTGCCGTCAGAGGACATGTGTGTGTCTGTATGTGTACGGTTTTCACAATTACAGAATGGGTCCAAGGAAACTTTAACTTGGTTCCACCTAGTTGATCTCCGGCGCGTCTGTAGTATTGATCTGCTTGCTCAGCAGGCTCCCCTCTGCCACGCGCTGTGTGCACCCTATGGGAAGAGCCTGCATTTTGGGATCTCTGCCAAGCTCCAGCCCACCCCTCCCCACGGTCTGGTTCTCGATTCCCAAGGGCAATGGTTACCATTTTGGCTTTGAAGAGGGGGGACATCCGGAGATAGCCCCGGCCATGGCGGTGAATGTAGAGGAGGTAGAAGGGGCCAAGGACCCAGAGGTACAGAGGGGGCACCCAGACCCCTGTTGCCTTCAGAAAGCACAGGCTCAGCAGGCCGGAGGCAGCAGGTTCCGGCTCAGTCTGGTTCCACACCTGAAAAGACACAGTGGGGGGGGGTGCTTAGCATGGCGCAACACCAGGGTCCCAATATCACCCGCCCACGGGGCCCGGCAGCATTGGGGACCCCTAACATTTACATACACATGTTCCAAGCCCAACCTTTTAATTCTCAACTCTTCTCATCCTAACATCATCTCTACTACAAGTCGATGGAGTCGTCCCACTGCTTTAGCAGATGAGGACCCAGAGAGGCTGAGTAACTTGGCTGATGCATCCCAGGTGGGAAGTGGAGGGGCTGGGATTTGAACCCAGGAAGTTGGATGCCGGCTGGAGTGGAGGAAACCTGGGCTCCATAATGAATGCTAGGCACAGTCACTCTGGGTAACAATTTTAGGAAGCAGATGTTACTGTGTCCATATCACAGACAGTAGATAAGTCACCAAGAGGAACTGCTGACTCAGACAGGAGCATGACTCCCTCAAAGGCTGTTCTGGATCTGTGCCTCCCCTCCCCCATACCTAGGGATTGAACCCAGGGCCTTCACAACAAGACAATAAGGTACACCACCTGGCCCTTTAAATATTTAAACATTTTTGAGACAGGACTTCCTTAAGTTGCCCAAGCTGGTCTCAAACCTGCAATACTCCTGCCTCAGCTTCCCAGAGTGCTAGGATCACAGGCATGTACCACCTAGCCCAGCTTGATCTGAGATGTTTACCTGGATCCTTCTGCTGGCCCTCTCTTAGGGACAAGAAGTTTGGTTAGTTTAGAGGGCATGGCTGCCCCAGTCCTCTGTCCCCTAACCCCACCTGGCTCACTACTTATCTTTGGTTCTAGCTTCACGGCTCACCAGCTAGGTGCAGGGATTCAGTACCCTGCCCGTGAAACGGGGATAGCGCCTTTCCCCTAAGCGTGGAGGTGCATGGACACTAGCGGCAAACCACCACACGGCGCAGGAGTGGAGCCAGCATCAGTCTCTGTCCTGCCCACTCCGGACACCCCAGTTGTCTGCCCCCACGCCAGCCCATCAAGTCCACTTCCCACGGTGCTCTGAGGGAGGAGGGAGCCAAGGAGGCAGGGTCCGGGAGACCGGTAGGGGCTCTCTGGGTGTGAAGGATTTGTGGAGGGTCCCCCAGCTTTATACAGCTAATGTCAAAGTCCCCAGTGTCTGGGAGGCCCGGGGACCCCTGAAAAGTCCCTGGCTCTTCAGGTCATGATCCGAGATGCCTACACAGCAGAGGCCCAGAGTGTGGGTGTCTCTCCCCTTCCTGGGTTTGCAGCCCGACCTGACTAGGGCCAGGGAGGGGAACTCACCCCGGACCCGACGCAGGGCTCGCCCTGAGCGGCCATCAGCCCCCCACGATCTGTCCCAGCGGCGTCTGTGGGTCGGTCTGTCCCTCAGCCTCGCCGCAGTGCTCTCCTGAGCAAGGGGTGGGCCGGGAGCTGCTGGAGCTCAGATCGCCAGGCCTGGGGCAAAGGTCGGCTGTGCGGCTGGGGAGGACAAGGGGAGGTGGACATGGGCCTAGGCCAGCGCCTAGGGAGGCGATCCCCAAAGCCCCGAAGGTGCGGCGACAATCACACTCTGCCCAGCTCCCAGCAACAAATCCCATCCCAAATGTCCCAAGCCCTTTGGACCCAGCAATGCCTGGAGTTTATCCTGGTAAAGGAAGCGACAGGTGTGCACTTGGGCATAAGTGAAGATGTGACGGTGGCCAAAGTGTGAAACCATGGGTGTGGGCACTGTCTGCGGGAAAAATTTAAAAGGAGTCTTAATAAGGAGTTTAGTACAGTGCTGCGCACACAGTAAATGCTAAATAGGTTAGGCATTATTTTTGTTTTTTAGACAGGGGGCTTGCTATGTTGCCCAGGCTAGTCTCAAATTCCTAGGCTCACACCTGGGCATACACCTACATATAAACACACACACACACACACATATGTTATTGTTCTCTCACCAAGTTAATGCACTAAACAGTACATATAACACTTTACTAATTACTAACAGTCTTGAATGTAAGGTTCTGCTTTAAATCTCAAAGATACCACCTGAGAAAACAAAGAAGACCAAAGAGACCTTACCCAAGAATTTGCAGGTAGGCAAGGGCAAGAGGCAGTGTCCAAATCAGGGGTCTGAGCGCCTAAAAGAGCCAGGGATTGAGCTCAGTGTTTCCACCACCTGCCTCGCAAATACAAAGACCCGAGTTCGACCCCCAGTAGAAAGCAAAAAGTTAAGAGCCTATCAGGTTATAACAACTCTCCAAGGAAAGAGTCCCTCTCTTGTCACATAATAAAAGAGGCCAAGAACAAATAAATACTCTCTGCACTGGCTCCAGGTTCGCTGCCTTACTCTGACAAAGCAGCTTTCGATCTCCTTAATTCTCTCCTCTTTCTAATAAAGTGATTTTGTTTCTTCTTCTAAACTTAGATCTCTTATTCCTCTATTGATGTAAAGTTTACAAACCATAGAGAAAATCTACCCACACCAGATGTGACACTGGAGCTAAGGCACGCAGCACTCTGCCTCTGTCCTGAGTTTTAAAGCAAGATGTGCGGCTTGTGTCAGAGTTTGCAGCTGATGGTCCTTTTCAGGAAAGACTTTTTGTAGCATTATCATATATGCATAAGTAAAAGATGGGAATGCACTAATACAGGAATCATGGGATACTACTTTCCTTTTTTTCTTTTTGGAGGGGAACAAGCATGTATTTAAGATAGGATTGAAAAGCTCAGCTCTTTCAGGCAGGCAATCTTTGGCATTCTGTGAGTGTGAAGAATAAAAACTTCTGCTGTGTCTGCCCTGCTTCTTTTGTAGGGGCAGGAGGTGACAGGCAGCAAAAAGGATAAAACAGAATCTCATTAAGCTTTATTAGTGAAATTAATAAGAAATCTTAGTAAGGACAGCTTTTGGCCTCTGCAGTTAGATCCAGCAATTACAAAGAAAAAGGAGAAGAGAGAGAGAGAGAGAGAGGGGGGGGGGAGGCCGAGACCAGATCTGGGAAAGCACCAGGGAATACAATTAACATGATTTAGTAGGAAGAGTTCACAGGCAAAACAGGGCTGTAGCCAGGAACATGAAAGGTCAGAGTAACCAGCCCTCCCCAAAATGAAAAGGAGATAAGGCGTTCCTCTTTTTAACATATAAAATGCAAGTGTCCCCACTACTAGTCATTAATCATTAACATGTCCCACTTACTTAATCATTAAGCTTTACCTTTCTATAAGGCTCCCCCATTTACCCATCACAAAGGGACAGGAAGAAATCAAACGCTCAGACTGAAATGCTGGGGTTCGGATCAAAGACAGCCAGAGACAGTTAGAAGGCAGCAACTTCCCGGTGCCCACCCGGTGGGGTGGGAGAAGTCGTTAGTCTTAAATAAAATGGAGCTGAGGACAAAAATCTACAGGTATTCACTTCTGATGAGCCCCACTCTCCCAGAGTAGCTGTTTCTCTTCCTTTCCCCCCATCTTTTCATTGAGATTCTTAGCTGTGTTGTGCTTGATTTTAGTCAAAGTGGACAATCATTTAGAAAAAATTTTTTTTTTCAAAATAGAGCCCTGGGCACTTTTAGAAGCCAAGTGGAAGAATTCCAAATATCAGATCAGAAAACAATTTTTGTCCTTTTGATGCAGGACTTGTAATTAAATTTGACCTATGTTATACTACACATCCAGGCTTTTGGGCAAAACGCAACTTGCTTATATTTGACTTCTTTTTGGACAAATCATATTTCATCCTAGAGGATATATTCAAAGGTAATTAAATGGCATGTACTGCAAGATTATGGGAGAAAAAACAACTCTGTTTCTATCAAATATTAGAGCTGGAGTTAAAATTTAAATACCGTCTTTAATTTAAAATTTTTTTCCTTTTGGCAGAAATGAAGATTGTACAAAGTGCCTTTGCACTGACCGGCATCCTCATTCCTTTGCCTATTTGAGACAGAGTCTTGCTAAATTGCCCAGACTAGATTCAAATTTGGAATCCTCCTGCCTCAGCTTCCCAGAGTGCAGGGATTATATGTTATAGGTGTGTGCTACTACACCCGGCTGCCTCCTTCAATATTATGCTGACGTTGGATAATGTGTTCTGCTTTTTTAAAAAACTTGCTAATCACTTATTGTGGAAAATTTTGTAACAAATTTACAAATTTCTGAAGGGCTTTTGAGATCATATATCACTTTGAAATATATGGGTCAAACATATTTGGGAGAGCTGCTGTTTACTTTAACAAAGTGTGTCGTTCTTTCCAGCTGCGCTTTTGAATCTAAAGCGAAGTTTAGCTTTGCAGTTTGGGTCGGTACAGGCGGACTGTCCTCTACACCGGCCAGTGGGTGCGCACAGTCTTCCAGGCCTGCAGGAGGCAGAAGTGGTAGGTTTCCTTGCTGAGCATGCGCCGTAGCTCTCTCTGCCCGAGGGAGCCTGGGCGTGGGGGGGCGTGGGG